AACTGTTATCAGCAGAAGTTGTCTGGCTGTTCACAGCTCAGAAGTACAGGAGAGAAGAGGTCAGAAATAGTTCATATTTCTTTTGTGCTGGAACTGAGCAGGCACATTAATTGTCCTCTGCCTGAGGCTTCTGGCCAGGGCCTGTGGGATTTGCACACATTGTCACTGGGGCACTAATTGGGTGATCATTTGAGCACTGCAGCCCTACCAAGTGATGCAAAGCTGCTGAGCCACCCTGCCAGTGCTGATCCTCATGTCTGAGCTGCTGTCAGCTGCAAGTACTTATGTCAGGTGGCCGCCAAAACCTCTCTCTTCTTTGGAAATCCAGGCTCTGTTCTGTCCTTTGTTTGCCCCCCCCCATCCCTCCCCCCAGCACTGTACTGTATTTCACACCAACAGAATCAAGTCATAAGTGGCAAAGAATAAAAATAGAAGTGGAGTGTGCATCTGCTATACAACTGGGATAAGTGTGAATCTGAACTTTATTCTGAACTTCATACCGTTGGAACAGGAGAGAATAATGCATGTAATGTGCCGAAAATGCAGAAATTGGGAAACATGGCTTGCTCTCTCATACAAACACCCCTTTATAGCAGCAGTGTCCAAGCACTCCAGCTCCTGGTAATGAAATCCGATCACCCAGCATTAACTCAGCACCTCAATACTTGTATTTTACAGCCTCATTGCTCCTTGTCCCTTCAGGTGCATCTACTCCCGCAGTCATACACGTGCCCACCACACCTGTCACCCAGGATTTTCCAGTCAGGCTGGTAAAACCTCACACATATTTGCACCTGACCACACACTGTAGCAATTCTCCCAACCCCTGCTCTTTTATCCAGCAGTGCAAGTACACAATCCCAGAGATGGACCTGCCAAACCTGCCAGGGCTGCACTTGGGCCTCTTCACAACTGCTTTGCTCATTGTTTGTAATTATTGCGTGCGCTCACCCAGTGCAGAAATTATCTCAAGTGGCAACTTGTGCAAAATCGATCTTGAAGCAGGAATTTGGTTCAAGTTAATTGCAAAGGTGAAAGACTATGACATAATTTCTGTCTGAGGACAGGTCTTACACACAACAGTACCTGTACACTTTCTCTCCTGGAGTATCAGGACTTTTTTTTCCTCAAAATCTTGGTCAATGCAAAAGGGAATTTCCATCTCTGTGCTAAGTCTCAGGGTACACCAGTCTGCCAAGAGCACTTTGTTCAAGAAAGGGGACTTTTTCCAAGATCTGTCTAGTTTTGTTTTCTACAAGCTGCCAGTGCCCTGGCAGTACAGTGTTAATATCCACCAGCCTCTCTCACTAATACATCTTAGGGAAACAGTACTTGATTTGAAACTGTATTTTTTAAAAAATGTTTTGAAGCAAGCCCCTGACACTCGCAAGCTTCATCCCTGGCACCCATTTCTGATGGTCAGAGGTCTATTGTGTGGGCAGCTGCAGTGACAGAAAAGATTCCTATCAGCTCTAATGCAAAGTGGGGAAAATTCTAGGCTAGGTTTTGCTCTGTGAAGCATGCAAGCCACTTCCACACACTTCCCTGGACATCTGGTTTCTAAACTGCATCCTATCTTGTGCCACCCCTCAAATATTTGGCTTGGCCCTTTTCAAATGGAGACAATTCAAAACCCACCTGGGCACATTTCTGTGTTACCTGCTTTAGGTGACCCTGAGTTGGCAGGGGAGTTGGTCTTGGTCTCCAGAGGTCCCTTCCAATACTAGCAACTCTGTGGTTCTGTGAAATCCATGGGAAAATTCCTGGAGGTTTCAGTAAGACTAGGTTAAACTCTTGAACAAACTTTGGGAAATGCTTGCTGCTTCTAGGGAAGGCACATCTCTCGATTTCAGAGAGTGGTTTTGGATTAAGATACTTTTGGAGATAAACATGTCAGAATTGAGAATTCTCTACTGGCTGCCTTGGCTGCTTTAAGCTGCAGTTATTAATTTTAAGCAACAGGATCAGTGTAGGAAGATTTTAATGTGGCCATCAGGTCTGAATGACTCAAGGACAGATCAACCACTGTTTTGAAGTTCTAGGTCTGTACCCTCGGGGTCAGACCACCACCAATATCAGTCTGACTGTGCCCTTCTCTTGCCATTAATCAGTTGTGCTGATTAATGTCAAATGAAATTCAGGTTTCTTTACCTCCAAAGTCCTATGTGGCTAAACAATAAACAGCTTTCCAGCAGGAAGTGAAACCTCCCCTCTGTTATGCTGGAAACACTCTTTGGGAAAATGTTCTAATCCTCTGTGATAGTCCCTTGTAGCATCTTCCAGCGGGCAGGTCAGGGCATTGCTGAGACACAAGTTACATCTAAATAGTCATCAAAAGTCTTATTTTCTATTAATTTTCTACTTGAATCTTTTTGGAAAAAAATTGAATATGAACAGAATTTTCCAGGATCATGTAGAAAGGATGTGACAGAGACTTTGATGGAAGCTGTACATTATTGCTCCCTGACTGCTCTGAGAGATTCGTGTGACCACAGCCAGTAGCCCTGGAGTGATGCCTTTGCTTGTGATTTCAAAGCATGCATCTCATGGCTATCTTACTGGAAGTATTTTATTTTACTGTTGCAAGGCAGTATTTGGATAAATCCCACTAAAAAATGGTGCTATTTTCTGCTGTGGTGCTTTAAACATATCAGTCACTTGTCCTGAGTTCCCACTGGTTCAAGTATTGTGCTATGTGGGTAGATCAGCAGGTGCAGGGCAAGAGCAGTGACAAAAAGGTTAAAACAATCTTTGAAATCAGACAAAAATCTAAAATACCTTACTGCTTGGTTTTAAATTTAAGTAAGTGTTTAAAAGTGAGTACTATGAGTGGTAGGAGAAAAAAATAACAAATATAAAAATAATTAGGAAGATTAGTTATTGGGAAAAAAACCCCAACTAAATCATAAAAATAGAAGGCTAAATGTTTGAAAGAAATGTGCTAAGACCTTGTAGTTAAATGGTTCATTTCCTGTTCCATTAAAACCTTCCTCCCTCAAGGGTAACTGGCATTTGCCCTAGAGGTTCAGGTAGTAAAGGAGAAAGGATCCAGAGGCAGGTGGAGAAAAGGGTTACAGGGGAATCCTCCAAAGCTGCTTTGTTCATTTACACATTCAGAAAGGCGGCTGGTTACTTTGCATTCACAACTCTGCACACACACATAGAAAAGACTGTATCATCAGAAAATATTTAGAAATGTTAGGAGTTTAGAAATTTGCTAGGCTAAATTTTATAGCCAAAAAAATATTTTATTTGGCTCCAGAAGTTAAAAGAACATTGTGCTGGTGCATTCTGTCTTCAGGGTCTGAAGGGATGGCAACACACAGCTCTTTGCTTCTCCCGAGACTGAGGTTAAATATCTACTTTAAAAACATTTGTTGCTCTTACACAGCCCTTCTTGTGTGGCATCTGATTCCAAAGCATTTAGCTGAGTAGATTATTTATAGCAAATCCAGGGATGGGGGGCCATGTAGTGAAGGCAGATCCAAGAATACAAGAGGCTGCGATACGCATGGGCATAAAAGAGCAGGTTCTACTTTCCATCCCTTAGCCATCTTGAAGGCATCTCATTATAAACAAAAGCTAGGTCTTTCATCACCAAAAGCAGCACTGCTCACCAATGAGCCATTCATTATCCCATATTAATGGTGTGGGTTGATCCATACTTTTTCCTTATAGTGTTCTCTGGATCAGTAATGAGATTTAGGGAGCTCAAGCTGAAGTAAAACCAATGAGGTATTATTATCTAAAAGCAGCTAAAACCTGGATGTGAGCTCTTTCATTAGGCATTAGACGTCAACTCCTGGGCTTCAGCAGCTTTTTTGGATCCCATGGATCAGTACCAGCAGCTTTCACACGTTGGTTGCCTGTGTTCTGGTCAGCTGAAGCTCTCAGTTGTGCCAGTGTTCCCCAGAGCCCTCCTGGAGGTGTTGATGGCCGTGGATGGGAGCAGGGATGTCCCTGTAGTCCTGCTCCGAGGAGGGACTGCTAAACAGATCACACTGAATTTCTCAAGGCTCCTGGATTCTCCAGTGTGTCAGAAAATAAACCTTGAGGCCTCTTATGTGAGCAATCATTGTGTCTGTGGAATGCGAAACATTTCCAATTTGTGAAGGAGAGCTCAGTTGCCTATACTGTACAAACACACACAAACACCATGTGGAAATAATAAATGTGTTTATGGTGGAGATCGGTGCTTCCTTTATTATTTTAGGATTTTGTCTGGATTTGAAACAATTGTTAAGAGCACTAGCCTCAGTTTTCATTACTGACATATTCATAATATTGACTTCACCTACTAAGGCAACTGTTCTCCTTCTCAGCATATATTCCATTATTTTTAAACATACCAGTTGTTCATCCACAAATATGCAATATTTAGGAAGTTTAATGGCCAAACTGATATTAAGTAGTGCTCTTCAATATCCTCCAGTTCTTCTAACCTTTGACTATGGAATTCAAATTTTGATTCACAGAAATTCATATACTGGAATTCAGGAGAGGGGGAAATTGTCCGGTTTGTAAACTTTAGTCCTCCTCTTAGTTTCTGAGGCAATACTTCCAGTTTTGCAGTTTAGGGTCATATTTAGTGTAGCTACAAGGTGCATTTTTAATGTCCTGGATGTCTCCTGTGCCTGGTGGGAGTGGGGTTGTACAAGATGCTGCAGCTGAACAGGAGGTGCATTGCCATGCCCTCCACTCACGAAAAGGTAACATGCCCTTTCTGCATGTTTTCCCCATTTAAATACAAGGAGTTACTGATACGTTTACATAAGCCTTACTAATATATACATAAGTAAAATTTGTTTTCCAGGAAAACTGCACACAGTTCTTTCAGCTGGATTTTGAAATGTCTTTGTGAAATGCTATCCTAAAACGCAGTATTCCACGTCAGGTTGACTAACATTTCATTTGTTATGAACTGAACATTTTTCCTGCCTTTTTTCTTTTTTTTTTTTTTTTAATTGTCTCAAAATAGTTACTCTGTGTTTGTATTTCAGATTACCTCATTATAGTTGGTCAGTGAGTGAAGAGAATCATTTTCTTGCCCAGCAACAATAATTGCCTATTCCATAAAATACTTCAACAACATTGTAAGTATAGAGACCTTTATGAAATGTCAGGGTTTCTATGACGAAAAACCTATGAATTTTTTCCAACTGTTGGAGGTTTTTCACTCGTGCAAGTTGGGAACAATGTGGACTTTTAGATAAAAAAATCATCTTTGGTCTGTGCAGAGTGTAATGTCCTCCTTCCATTTCCTTCCAAACTCACCTGGGCGGTGGGATATGGGAAGAGCAGAGATATGATCCTGGGTTTCCTACAGAAATGTGTGCAAAATAGATGTGGCAGTGGAACAACAAGGTGTTTAAAAAGTACCATGAAGGATCCTTGGAGGGTATAAATCCAATGTACACCTTCTATAATCCTGGAATACTGTATTCACTTCAAATCTCTACCTTTGGTACTTGAAGAGCCTTGAGGACACTCAGGACTCTTAACTGAGCACAGCTTCCCATCCACACACTAATGATCCATTACAGAAACTCCATACAAGGACTGGGGAGAAGGGTGAAGCCCATTTTTAGGATGGGTTTATTTTTATCTTTTTTTGGGAAGAGTTTATCCTCCCATTTTTTTATACATCCCACCAATGAAAGCTCAGAATTACTGAAATAATACAGTCTGTCTGTTGGAGTGGATTCTTCCCCAGGAGACTAATTTTATTTTATTATTACTGAAGAGAGCAGGAATTTATTAAGCCTCAAAAAGTGAAAGAACTGGAAGTTTCCTGCCAAGGTAGACATATTCCCAAGCTGCTCCAGCCCCTCCTGAGAAGCTCTTTTACTGACTTTCCCGTGTAGGAGAGAGACACAATTTTGTCCATATTATCAGCTGACAAATAAAACAACCAAATTCAGACAGGGGGAGGAGAGGGAAAATTTGTTCAAAAATATATTTAAAGACATGAACTTTCCTGTAGAGAAGTTTGTTTGGTGAGAAATGGATCTTTTGCTACAGGCTCCAATTTAAACTGGCTGACCTAGAAGGAAGAAAGTGCCTGGGAAAGAATGAAAAGCAAATAAATAAAAAGCAAGAAGCAAATAAAAAAATAGATTTTTCTCTTTCCCACTTTTCAAAGCCCTGTGGGTAGGATGGGACTTCTGTGTCCTACCTCTCAGGGAGCCAACAGCTTTATGTTTGTGCATAGCATGGACACAACAGGAATCTATCACATGATGGAGTGTGTGTTCCTTGTTCCTTGCTGATGCATGCTAATGACAGAAAAGTTAATTAAATCAGGCAGTTGGTGTTTGCCACTGGTTCAGAGAACAGAATTCTCCAAGGTTTGGTGGCCCTTGAGCAGATGGCATCCCTCCAGCCTCTCTCACAGCTACAGCTCACCCCTGAATTTATATGTCTTGCTCTCCAGATTCCCACAACCCACATGTTTATCCCCCTCCTCCTCCTCTTTCTTTTCCTCCCTTTCCCATTCCCTCTATTCCTGATCACTCCAGCTCTTACACTTGTCTCCCACAGTTCCTGCTGAAACAACATTCAGCTGTAGTGGTGCTGATGATGGTTATGGGGAAGGCAGAGCAAGATAAGCCAAGGCTGAGTGAAATATCCCCTCTTTGTAACACACAGGGTTGAGAATTTGTTTGGCTTATAGAATGGGACAGTCTTGACCTTAAAGCAAACCAGAAGTTTCTTCCAGATTGAAATACCTCAGAATTAAGGAATTTCCTCTTCCCTCGCTATCTGCATCTTCTGTTTTGTCAAAACCTCTTAAGAGACTGTTCAGTCATGCTAAGATTTCATGAATTTTAGAGTTTTGAGTCTGTCAGAGCAGATGGGCACTGGCAATGCTTGGCACTGCAGTCAAGAGCTTGGCAGGCATTACCACACCTGCACCGTCTTTAAATTGTCTCTCTTGGGAGTGGTGACACAGAAATTGGTATTTGGGGAGAGGTTCACTGGGAGCTGCAGGGTTTTTCAGCCAAGTGCCACTAACCCACGGTGGCATGGCCACCTCTGAGCAAGCTGGATCAGGGATGTCTGTCTGATATGCAGTCATGCCTTTGAGCTGCAGGGCTCTGCAGAGTTCACAGAGGCACAGCTGAATAGAAAGGCTGATTAGCATCCTACCCGTTGGGCCACCTCATTTCCATCCATGCTGTGAGGGGACAGCTGCTGAGGCAGTAACAAACACGCAGATGTGGCAATAACAGCACGCAGGGGAACAGGAGTTCTGTGTCTCTTCAGCGACTCACTTTTCAGCCTGGAGGAGCCCGCTCATCACAGGAAGCTTGTAGAGGTTGGGAACTCAGTTATTTTATTTGAAGTTCCATAAGTCATTCCATAATCGATTTTGATTGTCTGGGTGAGCAGAAGTGAAAGATCATGAGCAGGGGGATGTAGGCTGTAACCACCACTGGCTGTGACTTCAGGAGGTGCCATAAGGCCAAAGGTAACGTTAAACTCCAAGGCAGAGGGAACTGGGGGAAGAAGGGAAACACCCAATTCGCCTTCCTTCCCTATGTTCCTGTTACACCAGGTTTGTGAGGTGCCATCTCTTTGAAGGACTGACCTGTGCACTCAAGCACAGAGAAAATTTTCCCTCCAGTCCTCTTTATTAGGAAGTTTTGGTTCTCTGCCCTGTGGTTAAAACTGTGGCATATAAAAACAGTAACAAAATGGAGTTGATATCAATTATTACCTGAGGCTTCAGTGACCCTTCACCTCCCTACAAATGAGCAGGGGCTAATACATATAAGTTTGGAAATTAGGCAACTTATAGCAGAATAATACATGGGACTATGTTCAGGAAGGTGGTGCTATGTATTCTACCTTGTGGTTGAGATGGGAAACAAAATTACAAAATCTACTCAGCTCCTGATTGATTTTTTTTTCATCCTCTCTGTAGCCTCAAGCCAGAAATTTTTTTTTCCCTTCCAGAAGCAATGTAAAATAAAGGAGGGAAGATAATAAGCCACACTCTCAGTCTCTTATTAGTAAAAATACTTGAAAATGACCAGAAGAATGACTAAAAGTCAAAATAACTTGAAGGGAGAAGTCTTGACAATTATGTGAAAGGAAATTCAAATGGTCAGGGAGCACTGATTTTTCAAGGACACTCTGATGTCCTGACAGAAGCAGGAGCTTCACCCCATGACATGCAGGGTGGTGCAGTAGAAGAGAATAAGTTTGCACATGGAAGATTCTGTGATCCAGCAGATCAGCCGATGGCAAAATAGTGTTGAGCTTTTGTAATTGAACCTGTTCATTATCTAAAATGACATTAACTTTTCAGCTACTGCAAAATAATCCAAGCAGTATTTTTATTTGCTGGGAGAAGGTAAGAGTTTGCTGTAATTCTTAATTCATTTTTAGAAGATATCACTAAAGTAGTGACAGGGCCAAACTCGAGTTTCATATCTTCCCTACTCCCAAAATGAAGGGTGGTTTTGTTTCAGCATGTCTGCCCAGATTTGAACTTGTTTAGAACCCACAGTGGGATTTTTTTTTTTTTTTAATCCAGGGACCTCTTTTTGCTTGCTTTTTGGATGCTGTCCAAAATGGCAGAACCCTTGCAGGGCCAGACTGGCTCCAAATGAATTTACAGTCTTTAAGCTGTTGGGGCTGAATATTGGCTCAGCTGTTCATGGGATGCTTTTGCTGACAGACCCAAACTTTTATCTTAGACCTGAACCTCAGAATGTCAGCCGAATCTTGCTCCAGGTAAAAAAAATGGCATATTATGGTTTTGGGCCCATTTTTAACCTTTTAAAGTCCTGTTTCATTTGCAATGTAATGATGATACAGGCCTTCACTTAGCAAAGACATGTAGAAACACAGCTGCATTAATTTGAAAAAGATTTTGAAACAGACCCTTATACTCAGGTTTTGGTATTCGCATTATCTGATCTGTGTTCTTGATGAACCCCCTGTGAAAAATGGTGCATGAAAATGATAGATAGGAGATGGTACCTTCACTTGTCCTTGGCTCGAGGTAATAAGGGAACCCACAAGACCTTTGCTGTGATTTCACTGTAAACACCAGAAATTAATTTTGGTTTGTGTGCGGGTGTGTGTCTTTCTCTGCCCTTCCCCCATCTTTCCCCTTCTTTCCAGTTCTGCAAAAGGAAGTATCACGACCAGCATTTCTGCAGAGGCTGTTTGGACTTGCCCAGTACCTCTGTGCTGGCACATGCGCTCCTGCCCACGCAGCATCTGGGACACCCCTCCGGCTGTGACCTAACCCCATCCTTCTCCTGCTCTGTGCTGGGCTGCCCTTCCAGGATGTCCAACCCCATGGGCAGGATGGAGGCTGGGACGCCACAGCCCAGGATCTAATCCCAGCTCTTGGCTGTGGGGATGCAACAAATTCACTGTCAGCAAAAGCATCCTTTGCCCACGAGGTGGGTATTTAATATCTCTACAGGACTTAGCATAAAAGAAGCAAAATTCATGTTATTAAAATATTAATATAGTGGCTATATATGGAGAAAACTGCTTTCTGATGGTGGCTGGCTAGGGAGTTTATAGTCCATGATCAGAGCCATCTTTTCTTATAGACCTGATGCCTCCCAGATAATTAGTATAATTTTCAAAAGTTGCCTTTATTTGTAGTACATGTTCCTAAGACTCTTGACAGAGACCCTGTAATTTCAGGAATTAGTCCAGGCATGTAGTAATATTTAGTGCTTATGTTATTGATTTATGGACGAAAAATTCTGTCACTGGCAGTCTTTGGGAGAAGAGATTTGGATGTGTACACAATTAGTATTGCTATGCTCTCTCATTAATATTTTATGGGTGGTAGTTTGTTGAATGTAACATCTCCTTTTCTAGATCTGGGAGTGCAGGACATTGGACTGCTTTTGCTGGTAAAATTAGACATATCTGTGGTATTAGGAATTATTCTAGACACAATTAATTCTTGCTGTAGCTGTACTTGCTGCAGTACCCAGCTGGGACTGCTGCACAGCACAGAGGGTGAACAAAAACGGCCTTAAAATGAGTGTGGAGAGACTCCCATAGGAAATGGTTTTGTTTTTTAAAATCTGTGTGTGGCATAGGAAAGGAATGGGTGGAAGAATGATAACAAGAGAGAGCACGTTGGTGAGAGAGATAAGATTGAAAAAGGCTGGTAAGCAAAATGCTCAGAGTTGAGCCCATGTTTGCAAAATCGTGCAGCCTTTAGAAAAGCTGATGCTCATTTGGTTGTGCAACTGGTACTGAGGTCCTGGAAAATCCAGCCCTCCAAATTAGAAAGATAAGAAATTGTATTCAAAAATCCTTTAGTAAGGATTCTCCTTTCTCTGTGTTAAAAGCCATGAAAACAAAGACATTCTTGCTGAGCAGATTTTGGGGGATTTGTTTCCTTTCTACAAAGAAACAAATTCTGACTGTTTTTTCCTAGTGATTTATACATGAGCCCCATCTTGTGTGTTCTCTCCAAAATGTCTCACTGACTCTAGCAGAAAAAAGGCATTCAGATGCTCTGCCTGCAGATAGCTTCTTTTCCTTTAAATCCCTGCAAAAAAAACGAGAACGGGTGGCAGTGACTGGAGTAGCTTTTGAAGTACAATACATACATATGTGTGCTTTTTCTGTATATGTGTGTGTTAAATATATATTTGTGTGTGCGTTAAATATATATTTGTGTGTGCTTTAAGACTTACTGGGCATCTGCCCTTGGGCTCTGCTTTCTATGATTAACCTGATTAGCTTTGCAGTTATAAATACCTGGTAAATGTCTGCCTTTGATCTAACCCACCTGTCACTCAATAGTCTTTTAAACTCCAGGTTTCCTCTCTCCTTCTTGACATTTGTCATTGTCTTCCCTCTGAATGCCTTGCTTGCAGCTCTCAAAAGCTGGCCCAGAAGCCCTAGGAGGGGAGACTGGAGTATCAAGTACCGCGCTCCGGGCTCAGAGGCAGCTGCCATGTTCTAAAAGGTCTCTTTATTCTTCGCAGCCTCGGCTTTGCCCAAATAACAAATATTCACTTCCCAACCCCTTTAACTTCTGTGGAAGAAAATCCCTCAGAATAACAATAAGTTCTTCCCTCTTTCCAGCCTAGCCCAGTGTACATTAATACACCTTGTAATTGCTTGTCTCTATCGGTTTTAGTCCTTTGCCCTTTTTTGCTCTTTCTTTTTGTACTTCAGCTTCATCATTGATCCTATTCACTCTATTCCCAGTGCTGAAATCCAAGTCCCAAATGCCAGCAAGGAATACTCAGCCATTCATGACAAATTGAATGGCTCAATTTAAAGGGGAAGATAGTACCTCATCTACTGTTACTATTCACCACAATAATCTCTGTCGCCCGTTTACAGGAGACAGCAGCGTGTCCTGAGTTCAGGGACAGACTATGCTGATCATCTCTGCCTTGAAAGGACTCCAAGGAGCATTGCACATGACGGGGAGTCACCTTTCTGCCTTTGAAGGTTTTTATGCATTCACATCAAGACAATGGACAACACTACTAAGAGCCCAGGAATGCTGTTCCATTCACCCCTGCCCTGGCACGCTCCCAACCCACTTGCAGGGACATGCCAAAAAATAAGTCAGGGAGGCTGAAATAAGGCCAGATCCTCAGCTGGTAGGAACGGGCTGTCAGTGTAAACACTTCTAGGATCAGTGAGGATTCAGGGGAAAAAACCAAACTTCAGTATTTTAGCAAGTGCTGCATCAAGGACAGCCTCGTCAGATGTAATTACCTGTCCCACCAGCTTCCAGGTAGCTCCTGATGGGCTCTCCCTTTGGAGTCTGGGCTACAAAAAGAACCCACACAGGGAATAGGAGCTGCCTGTGGTGCCTCATCTATACCCATGGTGCCAAAGTGTCCTAGGCTGCTCAAAATAATTTGTTGACAGTTGCTATGATCAGGAAATGGACCTCTCAGTTGAAGATAGGTGTTCACAGAAAAGAACCTGTGCTCCTTCATTACCATTTTTTTTTAATTTTTCATGAGGTAACTGAAAACACCAAAGTTTTCTCTGTAAATTTAAAAAAAAAATCTATTTATTGGTAAATCTTGCCCACAGAGATTTAATTTTGGCTTTCTCCACTGAAAGTATTCTTCTTGCAGAATTTAACTGTATATTTTCAGTCAACATGATTCCATTTTTTTTATTGTTAAAAAGTTTAGGGTTTTTTTTTTTTCATGCATTATTTGTGCAACTGCATAACCCAAATAATTATAATACAGAATTTGGTTTTGGTTTTCTTTTTCCCTGTTAACTTCATTAGCCATACACAGAGGACCATAAATCCCCATTTGCACACGCTGTCAGCAACATGACTATGCTGCATTACCAGAACGTGGGCACAGAGTGGAGATAAAATTATATTGCTTACAAATAGCAGTGCAGGACATTGATTTCCTGAGCTGCAAACAGTTGCAGGAACCATTCTGGTTTGATGTGTTTTGTGATGGTATTATTCCCACTGGAGAAGGTTATGTCTTGGTGGGGTGAATTCCAGCCTTTCTCCAGAACAGGCTCTCTACAACAATGCAGCTCACAGATGTTTTGTTCTGCTGAGAAATATTAGGGAGAATGGAAATCAGTTCCAGACCACGTCCTTGTTTTCCAGGTGATAATGTCTCTCCAGGTCTTCTGATAGATTTTTCTTTTTTTTTTTTTTGGCTACCTGATATTTTCCCTTACATTTCCCAAAAGAAGAGCAGATGGAGAGAGAAGCTCCATCTGCCTGCCAGTTGTCCACTCACAGCTCCCACTCAGTTCTGGCTATTGCAAGATGCAATGAGGCAACCGAGTCACAGTGCAGAAATAAATGCTAATGCGGACCAGGGTTCTCCAGTAGGATGTTCCCATTAAAGAGCAGCTCACAGGGCTGCAGAGGTCCAGCCAGCTGAGTCCAGAGTAACCTGGGAGGTTTGGAGCGCCTCAGCTTTCTGATCTTGCATTTCTGAAAGAGAACATTTGTTTTAAAATAAGGCTTTGAAGTACAGTGAAAGACTTTATGTTGATAAGTCCACGCAGAATCATCAGGGAACCCCAGAGAAGATTGACAACCAACCAGTGAAAGGAGGAAAGGCTGTTTTCCCTAGAGATTTCTTGTAGGTCTTGGCTTTTGCTGAACTAAACACAACATGGAAATACTCTTTGTCAAACTACTGTCCTATCTCCAGCCAAAATCAGGAAAGGATATTTTGTGAGAAAAATATATAAACATATATTAACTAAACTTTTGTAAAGATTCAGGAATTTGGGTTTTGGATTTCAACCAGTTGTGCTTCCTCCAGACCAATCTTATCCTCTACATCTCAACACAGTTATTGTGTTGTGTGTAAGGATAGCATCTGAAATGTCAGCAAGAGGTGTATGGGTCCAGATAGATCTCATTGTTGCAAGCCCTTAATTAGGTCTGAATGATAAATCACAGAATTACAGCATGCTGGTCAAGAATGCTGCTGTCTTGTTATTTTTTCCTGTTTTCAGGCTTTTGGGGTAGATACACCCTGCTCACATTTGATGGCATTATTCTACCACCATGAGGGCTGAAAATGTATTTATTTATTTATTGCAGCCATAGCTAAAGTTTTAAAGTAATCTTCTGTCTCTCTTCAGTCATAATAAAACCACGAGATAAAATGTCTCTGGTACATTAGCAGCTAGCCTGAGTCTCAATATTTTAGTTTCTGCATAATACCTCCACTTTTTCTTGAAATCCTCATTTTTCCCCACTCTTAGCTCAGAACTGAGATTGAAATAATTAAGCTCCCTTGAACTGGGTAACCTGCTCTTCCCATCTGGAAAGCAGAGATTGTGAGTCAAAGCATTTATACAGAATCAGAGATGATGTTTCTCACTCTAAGCCTTTTTTCATTGTAGCAGCTTGTGAGAAAGGGGAGGAGAGGGCCTGCCTTTTGAAGGACATGGGAAATTTTCTTTTGATCTGTTTTTAAGACAAAACTCAGTCTAAAGGCCGTCCTCAGGCATCACAGACATGGCCAGTGAAATGCTGCCTCAAAGGGTGGAAAAGATGGAATTAGAGCATTGATTCGCCTCTCTGTGCAGGAGTGGTTTGCTAAAACTCACTTCATGCCATCTTTAAATTAAATATAAGTACAAAGAAAATGTTATTTAGCGTGTTAATTGAGGGTTTTTCTTGTGGGTAATTCCTGCGTGTGCTTTCTATTTAGCTTTTTTTAAACTTTGAAGAGAGTATCGAGTTATTCATGAGCATAGAGCCTGGACAGACTCCTAATCAAAGGCCTTCCCAAAACACCAGGCGCAGCCCTTGCGCTGAACCTATTGACACGTGGTGGGAATGATGCCTATCTCTAGGATAACTAGCTTGATGGATAGTCTGACTGATGGAGGTTCCAAAGCCTCCCTGCTAATCTGTTCTAATTTGGTCATATATAGGGCATTAATATGCATCTCTGTAGGTAAATCTAGCATTAAGATGAGTTCTCTTTGTCCCAAAATAAAGCTGTTCATATTACAGTGCTGCTAAGCCACCAAGGCTTATCCCTTCCCTGAGAAGATCATGGTACCTGAAAGATTCCACTAATGCAAGTACTAAAAGACAATCCAAACTTAAAAACATGAGGAAGGATTTCCATCCTTTATAACAAAACCCTTCTTGCAGCTCCGCAGTTGAAGGGAGAGCACTGTCCCCATCCACAGACAGTTGTGAAATAGTTTTGTCTGGTGGACTGAATGTGGACTGAAACAGCAGCTTGGAATATTTCAGTTTCAGAAACTTCTGTAATTTCTCACCTGCAAAATCTTCCCTGTGACTGCTGAGATGCTGTTTGGCACCGTGGGCAGCTCTAATGACTCCTAATGGGTGGCATTCATGGAGCCCTGAGAGCTGCAGAGACCTGTTTTAACACACTGGCCCTTTGTAGGGCAGAAGTCAGGGGCTCAGCTGGTACCTGCAGAATTAGGAACAATTAGAAATGCTTTAATTGAAGTCAACAGAGCCACCTAAACTCACTACATTTGAGAAGCCAGCACAGGCTGGGCAGCACCCGCAGTTAACAGGACTCACACTGATTATGACTCAGGGGCAGAGTGGATAAATAGCAAATTTTTGAACAATATCCCTTTTTGTGCTGCAAACAGGTCAAATGCTGCCACATTTTTATGACCCAGAAAAGAGGTAGAGTTTAGGAGAGCACAAAAGCCCCAGAAAAGGAGTTGGGTTTGAGGTCACATTTTCATAGCCACATTATTGAACTATACCTCTGAAAGACAAAAGAGAAGGTGATGTTCCAGCATGTAGCCATTGCTTAACGATTGTGCTGTCGGTCTGGGGAGGGCGGAGTGGCAGGTTGCTTAACAGTTTTACATTTTCCCATGGTATAATACTGGTGATACAGTTTGCTATAATTAAAGGGTTATATAAATAAGCCATTGGGAAACAAATTAATTTATTTCCTTGGTGAGGCTAGTTATGTAATTTGGGGCTTGCACACTCATCTACTTTCTCTTTGAAGCACTCAGCCCCCTGCCCCCCACCTCAGACCCGGTCCTCCTCTCCCAATTGTTTTAAAATAATTTCAAAACACGTCAAGGAATGCAGATGTGAAAAGTGTTGCACTTTCAACTTCTTGAAGCAGCAGTGTCCTTAATGAGAAAAAGCTGGAGAGCAGAGTGAGACTTAGCTTGTAAAAGTTTTATGGCATGTTTATTGCAAAAGGCCCTTGAATGGAGAGAGCAGGGTGCACAGAGGTGTTGGTGCCACTGGGCCATGCTCGACAGCAGCCCCCACCCACTGCCCCCACTTTAGCAGGGAGTGGGAGAATCCATCACCTGGATCTCATTTGGGGCAGCTTCATTGACTTTGGGGATGCTCAACCTTTTTGTATTTACTGAGGATCTGGCCCAGTAAGGGATGGCAAAAGGAAAGATGGGCTAGTTCCTACCCCGAGCAGAGAAATTGCCCTTCTTCTAGGAAATAATAACATGTCATTAGCAGTTCCATTGTACAAACCAGAGTATAACCCTACATTTTCCTCTGATGCCTGTGTTTCTTTTATGAGCTTCTAAGTGGCATCATTAAGCTACTCTTAATTCTCTTGCCATATTTAATCATGTAACTTTTTTGCATTCTCTTCCCTAGAAATTTAGGCCTCGAGCAGAAGAAGATTTTAAACAAATTCCAAAACTTAAAAATTGCGTACAAAGCTGTAGTAGAAAAAACCCCCAGCAATTTCCATGAAGCATATATGCACTAGTATTAGTTTCCTGTAATAGACATCACTTTGGCTTCACAATAAAAAAGGCAAGAAGAAAAAGAAAAAGGGAAAAAAAGAGGGAAAAGTAGCATTTAAAATCTTGACATAAAGACCATTGCTACACTTCAGAGCTCTTCCAGGCTCCAACTGGGAGATTCAAACGTGCTTCACCATCCAAAGGGAGGTGTAAATCTGTGAGATTTCTGGTGCTGAATGAAAAGATATAAAGCATTAAATTAGTTATGAAACATACCTCTGACATGAATGTCCAGCTATAATAATCTCAGCCTTAATCTCTTAGACTTGCCATTGTGGAAGACCCTACTTGACAGAGGAGGGCAGGCACTGCTGGTTTGCTTTGGTTTAGATTTTAATATTTCTAGTCTCAGGATAATTCCAAGTCCTAGCTGGCTACAATAATTTCCTTTTAAACTTTTGCTTAATGTAGTGCAGTAACTTCACAGCATGTGCCTCAGGAATGAACATCAACCAAAACTGCTGATGGTGTTTATCTTACACTACAGGGAAGCCACTGATCAAAGCAATGTATATTTTAATCAGAACTCTTCCCAAAGTGGCAGCTTCTACTGCCAGCACACTGCTGGTGTGTCTCTGCTAGCTCTGCAGAAAGAATAAAGGAGAACAATTAGTAACAGTCTGGAGGCAAATTTGAAGCCATCCAGCAGAGCTTCACATCACCAATGTGGATATCAAGTGGAAGACTCGGATAAAATTGGGCTGGAGGCCAGGCTGTGTTTGTCTCTGGTGGATTCTGAAGGGAGTGAGACCCATTGTTTGCTCACAGAATATCTGTCATTTTAGCATTTTGGAGGTTAATGGCTTTGATTTTCAAATTCTAATCACAGACTGCAAAGAAGAGGAAGAAGTTACTGTGAATTAATGAATAGGACCATGGTGGGTTGGGCTCTTCTCTGGGGCTTTGGTTGTTGTAGTGGGAGCTCCTGGCTGCCTACAGCCAGTACTGGATTCTGTGTATGCAGGACAAGAGGCACAAAGGCTCAACCCATGATTCTCCCCTGACTTTATAGAAGAGCCAGGCACACACCTTTGGTGTCTCAGCTTGCCAGTGTCCAGAAATTGCCTTGACAAACTTCTTAGTAATGAAGTTTTCAGCTCATTCAGCCCAGTCCTCTCCTCAAGCTGAGCCTAAGGAGCCCTGTTGTTTCCTTGATGAGGTTTCCAAAGCCATCATGGGAATATGAAAATAGGCAGAGTTTAAGGCTGACATGAGTGGTATAACAAGTTTTTAGGCATTTATGGGGTTGAGATTGGGACTTGTGAGATTAGAAATGGTCTTCTCCCTGTAAGAATCACTCACAAATTTGGACAAATTGCTTGAACTTGCTGTCCTTATTGCTCAAAATTACCTAAACATCTGCATTAATCCATTTATCTTAAAGAAATTTAACTTTAATCATACTTAACTTCAATCATATACTCGTGTCCCAATTATGCTAATAGCACTCAAGTATGTACTTGAGTGTCTCGCTGACTGAGGTTCTTCTGAATTGCAACTCTGTCTGCCATTTCCAGGGATATAGTACTTCCCCTGAAGGAGGAGAGCAAGCTAATGTGGCTGACTAGGAACTACAGAACTGCTCACATTTGTTAAATCTTGGTCAGAACTTTCAAGAAACTGGCCTTATCTTGATGGCCAAGGACACCACTTTTCCTCTTTTTTTTTTTTTTCAAGATTATGTACAGAAAATTATTTTTAAATAAGTCCCAAATTTTTTTCTTAAAAAAAATTATTGGAAAACAGATTCTGGATCTTCAGTTGAAGAAATTAAGTGCTCTTTAAGTTAGTGCTTCAAGAAAAAGTTTTGAAATATTAATCTCCATCTCTTTATTTACATTCTTGAGACTTAAAATAACTTTGAAGTTTTTATTGAAAAATCTGGAAAATAAAACTGCCCTTTGTCTTATGGGTCAGGTTTCAGCAGAGCCTCAATCTGGCTGCTGGCTTTTGAACCTCTGAAGATGCTGCTGTGCTTGGACTCGGCATGACTCTTCTCTTACAAGAAGAGTAGCATTGTAAGTCATGTATAGGATGTGTTTTTCTACTTACTGCAGAGAATCTGCTCACAAAAGAAGGGCCAAAAATATTTTGAGTGAGATTCTATTAGTTTATGTAGCTGATTAAAACTCAAGGCCCTGTTTTTCTGTGGAAATAGTATCCACTATCCATCACAACAGCCCCTCTAAGCCGAGGGCTAAGTCACCCCTTTGGCAGCCATTATGTTAAAGCTCAGCCTTACACTGAGGTGAGAAAATAAACTGAAGATCCTTTGAGGGAATTTTTGAGGATTGTATGCAAACTCAGTATCTTTATTATGTCTTGCTGCAGCTGGCTGGGTCTCTGGTTTTATTTGTCTGTTGAAACAGCACCATGAGTTAAGCTGCTCACGGCTCCTGGGTATCACAGATGAGGAGCCTGCTGGGGCACTGAGCAGCACTTTGGCAATTCCCGACAAAATCTGAATTTTTGATCTTGTGGCCTTAGAAATGAGATGGTTTTTAAATTTGCAGCAAGTCCTGCACTCCTTTTAGCTACGGGCAGACGTGCTGTTGACACAGATGAGCCATTGCCTTCCTAGGAGGTAATGCTCATGTGCATCTTGTGCAGGCAGCAAGAGAAGATGCATCCTCAGGAAGTCACAGACCTCGCAGGACGTGTTATTTTCCATCAGCAGTAAGCAGCACTGCCTGTGTGCAGATTAGGGAGGGCAGAGCTGAAATAAGACAGGAAGAAAGCTGCAGAAGTAAAACTGCCTCTAAAGCTCCTTTTAAACATGCAGGACAGGAGGGAATAAGTGGACACTGCTTATGATGAAACCTTTTGCTTCCTGTAGTGTTTGGCATTCCTTAATATGTCCTGATGGCTTTGATTTCCTCTCCTCCATTGCAGCATCAAAGAGCAAGTAGGCTGAATGTTATCCAATTGGTCCTTTGAATGCCATCCTTTTTAACCTCCCTTTCTTGGATAACGTTTTGCTTTCAGATGCTGCACCAACACAATGCTGTCCACGTCCGGATATGCCACAGGGGAAATGAGCTGAGTGCCCAGTGAACTTTATTGCTGTAGAGAACCTGGCAGAACTCATCACACTTTGTAGCTGATACCTTCCTGTGGCAGGTTCAGGTAAAGGACAAGGACCCAGATCTTCAAACGTGTCTGGTGGTTCTGAACACTGCAATGTTTTGAAATCAATTTCCCAGCCGTGGTGAGTCCCGCAAATCTGAAATGACCTTTCCTCTCTATTTCCTTCAATACACTACAGGTCTTGTCTCTTTGTTTCCTTGAACCTTTCAAGAGTTCCAGCCTGACCTCACTTGTGTTGTACTATGGAGTGCCTAGAAAATATAGATGCCTTAAGTAAGTTGGGAAATTTTCTTATTTCTTATTAGGTATGTTCTCCAGTGATGGGGTTTGGTATATTTTCCATTTTGCATTTATTTCCAGGAGAATCCCACACCAACTAAAACATCAATCAATTTAAAACACAGCTAATGAGCTTTCTTTGTCCTCTGTCTCATGCTGGAAAATCCCACCTGATCCCTAATTAACAAACTGATGTATTAAAAGTATAACTAATGGCCTCCCTTTGTTCTTTTCTTCCAGCTGCAGAATCCCACCTGATCCCAAATTATCATATTGATTTATTTCATATTAAAATATACGCATTGCATAGTTTCTTTATCATGCCTGCTTCAGACATATGTTCCAATTAAGTGCCGATTTTACCCCTCACAGATCAAATGCTTTCGGAGAAAAGCAGTTGTTTAAAATGCCACATTGTCCCTCCCAGTGTTCAAATATTTGAGTGTGCTTACTATTGAGGTCAATATGAAGTCACTTGGTAGTATCTTGGAGGATCAGCCTTGCAGATCCATTCCAAGCAATGACCCTCCCACTGGTGTGAGTGGATCTTTGCAAGTGACTGTTCATAAGTCTCGTGCATCCAGGTTTTTTGCTGGATGGTGGATTTTGTTCCAAAGCACTGCCAGTCTCCAGTGGCGTTCCTGCCTCACACAGAATGAACAGCCAGACAGAGTAGGACTTGCATGCCAGGCTGATTTGCCTCTCGTTTGCAGCTTGTGACAAGTTTAGCTCAGTTTGGACGTGTGTGCATGAACAGCAGGAGCTCAGAAGTACCACTCGTCCCCACGCTCTGTCCTTGGGCTTGCAGTGATGTGAACACATCTGCAGGCAGCACGAGGCCATTGCACCTGGTATGTAAACACCAAGGCCTGCTCGGCCCTCCTGCCTGCCGTGCTCCCCGGAAACAAGCAGTGGGCCACTCGCTGCAGACAAAGCCCTCAGAGAGAGGAACTGAGAAATAATGGGCTGGTTTGGATGGAGCAAGAGAGAATGACATGGTCTCTGGCAAGAAAGACATGTGCTTACAGGTTATGTGAATTTCTTGCATCAGAAGGAAGAGCAGGGAAACGTCCCAGTCCTTGTGCCAGCCAGCCAACCTCCTTGGAGCACAGGCCAAGGCAGCAGGGCCCATCCCATGCTGGTAAACCACCCCCACATACATCCCCTTTTCCCTCCAAGCTGTTCCTGAAGCCTCATTATTCCTCTGGTGGATAAAAAAGACAATCAGGCTCAATTCCAAGGGAAAGAAAGTACCCAGAGGCTGCTTGTCCCTGCTCCCAGGACCAGCAGAGTCACCCTGTAGGGGTAACCTGGTAACCCAGCAGGCTCTTGAAGCTCTCTCTGAGCAGTGCAGACCCACCACACCACAGCTGTGCAAAGCTTGAAAAGGGACCTGAATGGGACCCAGCAGATCTGCAAAGAGAAATCTGAAGCACTGTTTGCAGCAAAGGACCCGAGGTGTCAGCCTGGCCCACAGGAATGCTCTTGGACTTTGGGATGTTGTTTCATGCTAAAGTGCTCTGATGTACCCAAGGAGGGATGGTGATCTCTTTAGGGCAACACTAGTCTCCTTTTGTCTTCCAGGCCCTCACTCAGGTTCCCAGAACAAGGCTGCAACATGTCTGGCTCCATGACTTAATTGAGTGGTAAGCCCTTTATTTCTCTTGGCCAAAATCTTCTCTGGCTACCATCCTAATAGTGAGAGATCTTAGTTAGTGCTATCCATTTTCTACACGTCTCCTTTCCAGCCTCCTAGAGCCTCACAGGTTTATTTCTTTTACATGTAGTCCTGTATGCAGTTGTGTCTGTGAACAAGAGTGCAGCTACACACATCAGGCAGAAAAATGCTCCAGTTTGAAAATAAATTATTGAAAGGGCAAAAAGAGGAGCTAAATAGCTTATTTAAAATCTGCCAAGTTTCTTAGCACAGTTTGGAGCGGAAAAGGCACTTCATTCTAATTCCAAGCAGGAGATGAGCAGCATCCAGCTACTTATCCTTTAAAATGTACTTTTCCTGCTCCCTCCCTACAAATAGTGTGCGCATGTCATAGATCAGATAGGAGAGAAATGGGAAGTTCCTCTTCTCGTACAGGAATTTAGACACCTGAATTCCCATCACATTTGTCTTACAACACAGGGCTTTGCTTCCCTGCAAGGCTGCTGGCCAGCCCTCCTGGCAGGCAGGTTTTTTTCATGCAGTTATCCCACACTGAGCCAACTGGGAGACCTGGGAGCCCCGGATCCACAGCTTCCTTGCCTCAGGGCTTCAAACCCACAGCTCGTACTACGCTGTGGGCTGGGCTAGGGTGGGTTTTTTCCCCAGCTCCATCATGAGTGGTGCCATTGTGTTGAAAGAAATGATTAGAGCTGAAAGGGGAAGGTAATAATGGGTGATGAGAGATGCTGTCTGGGAAAGGAGGTGCAGGAGACACCTTGTTTTGGTTTTTCCCTCAGACTCTTTCCATATTTTGTTTAAAGATGATTGCATTTGAAACACAGAATTATTTTCTGGAGAAGGGATCTTTCCTCTCCAGGCAGTTAGAGTCATTCCCAGATTCCCTTCTGTAAGACCCCTCTTTCTTTCCATAGAGCCCAAAAACCTCAGGAAGAAGATCACAGGTGCCACAAAGACTACTTGTATGTGTCCAAGAACCTTCTCGGGTGTTTGAATTCCCACTCCAACCCCTGGGTGTGGGATACTTGTCTGTCACTGTGCCAAAAGATGTTGATTAGAAAAAATTCCCAAAGTATGAAAGAGACATTTTCTATGAAAATTTCTATTTCAGTGGTCATTTCCTCTTACCTTCCATGGCTGTATCTCACAGAAGTGAATTACACAGAAAATGCTAAAGGAAATTCATGACTGCCAAGCCAGTTATTTCTTGAATTATTTATCTTAATTGACATTGCCTTGTTTGTCTTTTATATTTTTCCTTTTTTCTCAGTTCCAGGTGATGAGTCCAGAGAAAGGCATTGTCTGTTATCCAGCAAACCACAACTTAGTGGAAGATTGCTTGGAGGGTGTTTGATACTATAATATCTGAGAGAAAGTGTCCAAATGAAACCATAAGTAATGACCAGTAGCTTTAAAGTAATGAAACCTTGAATTTCTTCTCACCTTTGTTTCTGGCAGCTCAGCTCCAAGAGTGTGATGCCTTTGTCAGATATTGGTTCTTTAAGACCAACCTCTGTTTTCAGCCATGGTCAGCCTTTGATGCACAGCAGGAAATTATATCCCTCCCCTCTCGGCAGTCCATCTGCGTGATAATGCAAATCTCATGGACAAAACCTCGACTCAGATTTTCACAAGAAATGCAAAATTTTTTCTCGTTGGGTCAACCTCCCTAGAAATCAAAGAAAACCCATTTTTCAGCCAGTTTATTTAGCCCCAACTGTCTTGCCACAGTGATATAGGAAATTTACAATTGCATTCCCATCCCTCAAAGCTTACTTGCTGTGAGACTTCAGTTCCAGAAACTGAAATTTCCCAAAAGCCTGGAGACATTTGGAAGGAGGAGCTCACCTATGCTGAACAAATCCTTTATGTTACCACACCAGCAGTGATGAAAGCACATGGGCAAAGCATTGCTTAGTAAATTACTGTTGTACAGATTACCTGTTTTGGTCCCACCATGTTTGAGCAGGCAGCATGTTCTTCATGTCTCTGGAGACCCAAAAAGAAAGTCTGCTAATACTGTCTTTGAGCTCATGAAAATTTTTGGAGCATGAAGTATGCTCTCCTGTGCAGTCATTTAACACTGTTCCAAACTGCTGCACCTGAGTGCCATGGGTGAAAATAAATTTCACACACCCACTTGGTGCATCTTCCAAGCCCACAAAAATGCCAGCTTCTTTTAATAACCTGGCAATACTTGGGAACAGGTGTTTCAAAGCTGAGAAAGCTACCTTTGGGAAACAAACCACATGATTTACTTGGTAACAGTTTGCTTGGATGGAACCTTTGTGATCTCTGTTCAAGGCTTGCCTTCCAAGTCACCTTTCTCTTTCACATGCATTTCTTATACTGCACAGATGCCTGTGTGAGCTCTGTTGCTGTGATATTGGAATGCTTGACCCTATTTTTAGGATATCTCCTCATTTTCCAAGCGAGGAAACAGACCACACTAGTCTGAATATTTTGCCCATGGTTGGTCAGGAGATGTGGGGTGCAGAGTAGAACTGGGCTCCTAATTTCCAGCAAAACAGCTTTTTGTAATGTTAAGGAAATGGAAAGAGGAATGTCTGCTGTTACCAGATAATTAAGAGATATTAGAAATTTTGAAAGCAGTTAAATATGCAAGCAAAAATGTTTATTTTCTGTTCCTTTGGGACTGCAGACACACAAAATGCCTGTATTCCATTGCTCCTTTGGAATCATGGTCATTTCATAGGTGTAACTATTTATCTTTCCACAGGTTTGATGTCAGTAAAGTAGTTCAAGATCTTCAGATACAAATTGTTTTCAATCAAAGCATAATGAATAAGTTTGTCTAGTGCAAAGCATGTCAGGTTTCATCAAACTAACAGGAAAAACTGGCTTATTGTCATTAATGCACCAAATAGGGGCACAACCCAGTTTGTTTCCAAAGCTACAAAGTATTGGGTTGTCATCTTGTATTTCTGTGGAAAGAAAAAAAAAAGCGCAGAGCAATAATTCCCAAGACAACACCTTCCTGGTGGTGTCATGGCATCTTCTCTAAAGAACCAATCTTGTTGAGGGAAAATCTTTTTGTCTCTCTTGCAGATGGCTCAGCTTTGTCCAGAGGGAATTCCAGACCTATTTGTTGATGGTTCTTGACGCTGAGCCTTCCACCTCAGGAAGCAAAGAAACTTTCCTCCCCAACAAACACTATAACTGGACCCAAGAAAGCTGGGCAGTCTTCCACAGGAGGGTAGAGATCCCTTTTTAAAGGGGTTTCTTAGGGTCTCCCCCGTTATTCTGCAGCAAGTAAATAACCAGAGAATCATAGGGATGTTGCTGGTGGCAGATCTGCTCAGCAGCAAGAAAAAAATGTGGCATAGTCTGTCAAAGGACTGCTCCAGATCCTCAACGAGCAGGAAGGGAACCTGTGCTCTATCAGCAGAAAAAGGCATTTCTTCATCATCAGATGGTAGAAACCAGTCCCATTATGTTCTCTTCTAATGTTTTGAGCAGAGCTTTGACAAAGGAGTGGATTTGCCCCAGAGCAGTTAAAACCAAAAAACCCAAGAGGTCCTCTCCACAGGCATTTTCCTGGCATTCTCTGACATGCAGATTGACTGATAATATCACCATAACAGCTGTTATCTCAAATGTCTGCCTCCAGGCAAATTAAAAGTAAAGAAAAGCCAAAACACTTGAAGAGATGAATATAGGAGGCATTTGCCAGTAATTTGCTGGCCCTGGACTGCCTGCTGTCAGGGGTAAAATGGAGCATGTTTGCCTTATAAGAAAATTACAGAGCTGTCATCCCTGCAACACAGAGCAATGGAGAGCAACACCACTGCCAGGACTGAAGGAAAAAGGATTGTTTTTCCAGCCAGAATCCAAAACAGCCTTTCTCAAGGGTATGCCTGAGCCTTGCTGCCAAGGAGCAGCAGGAGCAGGGCTGTCCCCAGATGAGGCCAAGGAAAAGGGACCCCCATGCAGGCAGTGCACGAGCACAGCTGCTGCAAACATGGCAAGTGCATGAAGTAGGTCCAGGGTCCACCCTGGGAACCCAGCCAGGACCAGCTGGACTACAGGGCCTAATTTTGGCTAGGCTCCAGCCATCATTTCTGGACTCTTAAGCCATGATTACTTTTCTGACGCTCTGGGCAAAGAATGATTCTTCTGAAAGAGACCAGCAAGATTCTCAGGTGACATGTCAGCTTGGGGTAGTGGGGTTTTCACTCTCGTTAGATGAACAGAGGTCTGCACTTCTTTGATGCAGACACAGATGACCGAAATGCCCAGTCTGTGAAATGTGTAAAATATTATTTCAAGAAAGATCTCTGGGCTGAGCTGAAGTAAAGCCTCTGAGTGCTCTTGTCAGAGCTGTTATTGAGGAAATTGAAATGCCACTGGCAATATTTGAGCTATTAGAGATGGGGTAAGAGAGTAAGAGCTGTTGTTTTCAGTGTCTGAAGAACATACTGACCTCCACAAGAGAAGACACACAAGTTTATAGGAGAGTCCAATTCTGGACCATACCATAGCTCAGTAAAACTCTGCCTTTATGAAAAAAACTCCCTTCTGGATTTTTATCCCTTTAAATTGTGTTCACGTGTAACAAGCCTGGCTTTTGTATACTTCTGACAATGCTAGAAGTAGAATTACCACAGAAATCCTCAGTATTTTAGTGGGAAGGGGGTACTGCTAACCATAAAGCTCATATTGAAAATCCATCTTGCCTTCTGATTTGAGGCTAGGACGGGCCAAGAAAGCCCCATGGGCCTTAGGAAGAGAAGCATCAGGGGAAGGGGAAGAAAAGGTCATCTTGGTTTTGTTGGAGAGGGAAAATGAAAGCTTTGCAGATGTTCAGGGAACAGGAACTTCACCAGTTCATTGATGTCTGTAGCTGGGATGTTTATTTTAATAGTCAAACCTTTAACATTACAGACTGTTAACCATGGCATAAAAGATGTCCAGGAAAGGCTATGAATTTTCAAGATTTAAGATTAAATTCAAGAAGTAGCAGTAGTCTAGCTAAAACAATGGTGAGGAAGTGAGCAAATCCTGGTTTTGCTCCTGCTTCTGACCCTGGTTTTGAAAGTGTCACTTTTATTCTTTTTATATAGGTTTCTCAGGCCTTTAGCATCTGTTGCATAATGGCAGCAGATCTTCCCACTCAGGGTGCACCTCCATGAGCATTTCCATTCTGGTTCATAGCTCAGATCAGCAGCAAGCTTTGGAAATGACCCTGCCACCCCTCCTGCTCACAGTGCCTGGGTTCACAGGCCAAGCAGGGCGCAGCCTTGTCCCACCACCCCAGACTTTGGGCATCTCCACAGGGACAGAAACAGGCAAGGTGGAGCTGGAGAACTTGAGAGTAAATCCCCACAGAAATTCAAGCGTAACCTGGTGACGTGCCACGCTTCTAAATGTCTCTTTGTGTCACTGAGGCCTCCCTAAGGACTGAAGGGGACCCATGTGGTTTGAAATGGCAACTGAGGAAACTGCCATCTGGACAGGGTCACCTCATCTCAGCCATTCCTGTGGCTGATTCCTCAGGACCTGCCAGGAAGAAGCACTGGTGAATGGCATTTCCAGGAATGACATTTCCCAAAGGAAAAGCCCTTTCTCTACTCCAGAAGTTGAAATTCTTTGTTGTAATTCCTGGAAAGTGATCCAGTCTAAAAAGTCCTGGCCATGCTTACAAAGATATGAAAACAATCAAGGTGGTAGTTTAAATTAAAAAAAAAAAAAAAAAAAAAAAGGGGCAAAGCTTTAAATTCAGGAGTGTGGAACCCTGGGCATTACCAGCATTTTGTAAAAGTGCCCTGCCATGCTTTCTTGCAGAAGTGTTTGTGAAACTTTGGGCAAACCTATGCAATTTGGCTCTTTTAGTTGGAAATAACACAAAACTCTGTGATTCTTGCTTTTCATCTGCCAAAATTAAGGGAACAATTGTACTGGGGTCCCTCTAAGTGTCAGGAATTGGAATTTACTAATTAAGGTTCAAGTGAGATTTAAGTAGAACTGGAAAAAATTCTGCTCACTGTTTCTTATGACTTCTGAAGCATATACAGATTCAGTCTGCATGTCTGTGCAGTATTCCATGTACATGTTTGAACTGCTGGGTCTGCAACATGAATGAATAGAGAATTTTAAAATATACATTGCTGAATATTATGGGAAGCACATACTGTAGTTTTGCTCAAACTCTGTCCTTGTTATTTTCGTCTGAAGCCTTGCATAATATTGGAAATGCTATCAAGCTGTATGTCTCAAAATTACAAAGCAAGGTGCTCTTCCATGTTGAAGTAATTTGGGAACAAAGTCATTGGCATAATTCATTATGGTATATATAAAATGGTGGCAGAGAGAGTAAAAGAAAGCTTTGCTGTTATTATCTTCTATATTTTTTTAGTGCACAGTACCTTGTCCAGAGCTGTGAGGACTTGCACAGCTTGTGATATATGGATCAAACTCTCTGGTGGGCTAAGAGAACATGGCTGCATTGTAGTCCATGCATCTGAGCCAGTTCCCACCACTTTTTTTTTCTGAAATGAAGCAATGCAAGGAAGTCAAAGTTGCCTTGAAAAATCAGAAATAATACTAGTCACTAATCAACAACATCCAACCCCAATTTTGTCCGACCTCAAACTCTTGTCCTTACCGTCTCTGTGAGACTATAAATTGATCCTTGTAATATGTCCAGAAGATTAAAAATAATCCAGGCTCTCACAGAACACAGAAACACATCACTCATTCCAGAACTGAGGAGTCCTCAGGGAGGTGCTGCTTTCAAGTTAAACCAAGACAACTTTAGCATGAGTGTCGCAGCGATCTGAACTGTGCTGTGTCCAGGAGGTGATTTCTTGGGAATCACTTTCCTGAAGTTTCATAGATATTGCCAAAGAGAGATTTTTTAAGAGAACAAAGTAGATTTTTCTTTGCATTGAAGTATTCCCAGGAACTTGATGGGTGGAATGAGTAGAGGCCACATCAGCTGCAGAAGCAGAAATTTCATTTAATATTGGGTTTGCATGGCACAGTGTAATACTTCCTTGGTCTCCAGGGACCTGTAAATATCCCTAGTAGTTCGTGTGCCAGGACATCGATGCTGACTGCATTTTCAGATCTGATGTTTAATTTCTGTCTCTTCAGCCAAGGAAGATCAATGTTCAGCAAGTGATTTGCAGGTGTGCCAGCTACGGTCAGCCAAACTACGGTGCTCTGGGATTCAAACAGCTCTAAGGAGTCAACCTACAGGGTGCCACAGCATCTGCAGCTGCCTCAGGTGAGCATCATTGACTCAGCTTTTCTCACCAGCAAAGGGGCAGTCACTGAGCACAGAGAGTCTGTCTTTTGGCACCTGAAACTTTTGTGCTGCCCTGGGGGTACCACAACTCTGGGTCACGCTGTTCAGTGCATGAAAGTTTGTGCAAAACCCCTGAGGTTCATTGTCTTCTGGGGAAAGAAGGGTGACAGATTTGCAAAGACATTCAGAGCTTCTTCACACTTCTGTCACAGCAGCTTTTGGGGTCTGAATAGCTTCTTGCTGCCTTTGAACCCAGTTTCTGTCCTCAAAAGAGCAGCAGATAGCAATCATCAATCTTTCAATGAAATAAGTAAGAATTTGAAGCACTGCTTCTGGGTTAAAGGAAAAGGTTTTATTTTATTAGAAAACCTAGTTTCTCCTCTGAAAATGTTTCCAAAAACATCCATGCACAAATCCAGCTAGCACAATCACCCCTTTGCACAGCAAGCCCTTAGACACTGTTTTCCTTCTTCCATATGACTTTCGTAGCCCACCTGGGAAATAAATTACTGGGCAGTGCTAGAGTTAGTAAACCTACATACACTCATAAAAGTTCAAACCAAAGCGTGATCATAAAGTACTTATGGGTCAGTAATCACACCCTTAATTTTCAGAAATAGAGTAGATGGTATTATCTGGAGGAAAAAAGTTCCTTCTTTTTTCTTTCTAAATATCCTGTTATAAGCCAGTAATAAGTATAAAAATAAGGACCTGGTTGAATATTTGCTGAAGCCAATCGCAAGTCTTTACTTTATTCCAGGGTGCTTTGGTGGGAGCCCTTCAAACCTTTATGTTCAGAACAGCACCTATGTCATAAGGACTTCATAAAGTCCCACTTAAATTGCCCCATTCTGCGCTACATCCTTGAAGGTAATCATTTGCTTAAATGCTTTGCAGAATAAGGATGCACTTTGAGCCAAGCATGGGCCTAAAATCCATGTCAAAAAGCCTTAATATTTAGCAGGCCACACTGTTTGTCACACAGATCTTTTGCCATTTAACTTGTGGTATTGGTTTGTACTTTGGAAAAAAGGGTCCTCTAGCATGTTCTTCCAAAAATGATATCCAGTAACGCTGGCTGGAGGCAGTGTGGGGGATTATTTCAAAAGCAGACTTTTGTAGGAAGTGATATAGTTCTTATTTCTCCTGGTCTGCTCTCAGGTCGTGCTGCTGCTGTGGTGCATCTGAGTCCCATGCTAGAAATGAAAAGGTTCAGAGAATCATGGCACCGAGGAAAGGCCCAAAGCTGCGCTCTGCTCCTGACAGCTTCTCTTTACACCACAGTTTTTCCTCTGAGCATGTCCCAGTGACTCTGCACTCCCAGTCCACCTGCAGCAGCCGGGGCCAGCCAAAGCAGGCTCTCATAGCCTGGCTTTCCTAGTGGGAGCTTCTCACAGCACGAGCAACCTCCTTTCCAGCAGATCACAGGTGTTCTCCACATAATGTGAGCAAGTGAGAGCACAACTTTGCCAAACTATGATGAAGTTTGGTAGCTGTAACACAAAATCCACGTTTGGCCTGAGATCTGAATCTGGCTCTCTACTCCATCCTCCGCTCCGAGCCAAATCAAACTGCAGCTTGTCATGAAGACCAAACAGCACCATGCTCTGATCGTGTAAGATCTGCATCCAGCTCCAAACTCTGAGGAGGAACCTCCTCCCGTGTGTGTCACAGTGGTGCCAATGCCTGACATGTTAGGTAGGAGTGGTAGCACCCTGAGAAAAATTCAAATGCCTGAGAGCCTGCCCCTAAAATTCCATGGGGAAAGCATCAAAACACTCTGAAGGATTGGAGGTGCAATGAAATTGCTGCTTCCTATAGCTTAAGAAAACCCCCAAACCACAGAGGAAACATATGAGCAAGATTTATGAGTGGTTCAAGTTCTGGGGCAATGCACTCCTCTGCCTTTTTGGTTCCTAAAGTCTCTTATTAATTTAAAAGCTGCCAGGCAGACAAGAATAATTCATCCAGCCTACCTGTGCTTTTTTTATTGGGGGGTAAAATGCAAAGGATATGTTCTATATTCTTCAGGAAGTGCTCCTCACCATGGAGGCAGCTCTGCTGCTCCCTCATGAGCACTCTCAGGACATCTGTGGCTTGCCAGCCCACCCAGGCCATCCTGCTACCCAGGCAATCCTGTTCTCACACTCTCTCTTGTGCTCTTGTTTTTCTTTTTTTTCTGAATAGTGAAGGATTTGAACTTTTTCTTCTGTATTTGGCACTTCTGGTAGAGCCTTTGACATGGAAAAAGGCTCATCTTTCAAATGCCTGTGGCACTCTGTGAAAGGTGATTTTAAAAAATCCATTTTATTTTGCTTCCTGGCAGTGATATCAAAGGAACAATCAGTGCCTGAGTTGGAGCCAACAATTTACTTCCATTATCATAAACAGAAAACAATGGCATGCTGCCTTATTAGTTATTCACTTTCCAAGTCAACAGACTCAGAGGGTTGGGATGAGATCTAACCAGAGATATGCTTTGATGTTTTCAGTTTGGAGAATCAGTCTCCTGGCCAAAATGCTGAGTGATGCCAGTTTTAGGGGGAAGAAGGGAGGGAAGAAAGGGCAGAGGGAAGGGACAAGAATCCCTGAGAGCACAGGGGGTAGCTACTGGAAGGGCCAGAGGTATGTGGCATGTTTGTGGCTGTCTCTAAGAAAGCTTTGGAGGGTGATTGTGCTCCGTGGTATTCCCACAGCAGAGGTGACACAAAGAGCAGCAGATGGGCTGATTGCAGTGCAGTTCCTCTGATTTATACCCCTTGAGGATCTAGTCCAGTGCACACTCCAGGTCTGCTACTGTGCTGCAGAACAGCCGCTTCTGTGGGGTTTGCAGTGTGTGCTGTGGGAGATGATGGAGCCAACCCAAGCCAGATGTGCACAGCAGCCCTGATGCTCATCCTTCCCTCCCAGAAGCAAGCCTTAAGTCTTCCAGCACTGTCAGATAAACTGTGCTTTGCAGGGAATGCTGCTGGGAGTAATGAGTAACAGTGTTTGTCACTGTACTTCGTTGTTTTAGCACTGTGCTCACATATGAAGAACATTTTTGTTATACGTACCTAATGGTACAGAGTATTTATGGAAAATTATCTCTTGTAGGTGGGGATAAACATGAAAGGTAAACATCTGTTTTTGTACATAGAAAACTGTGATCAACTTCTTTCTCAGTGTCATGATGCCAACCAAACCTAAAAAAAGTCACATGCTCTCCGTTACCTGAATCAGTTTCACCAGCATTTCTGGATCAATCAAAATGTCTGTATTATTTAATAAGGTAGAAAGCCTAAATGTGGGGCAGAGTAGTTGGTCACTGCTTGCTTATTAATCCTGTCTCTCAAGGACAAGCCACCCCGGCTATTTTGGATTCTTTTCTGACCAAATTACAAACACATTAAACCAGCTTCTCTTTTCTCACAGAATTGATGCTGTAAACTGTCCCAGTTGTTTGCAACAGGAACCAAATTGATAGAGATCACAGGAATTGAAGTAGATTGTTTGCTCTAGTGGAGAACTGTCTGTGCTTTGTGAGAGGTACATACCTGCTCCCTACCTGTACATCTTTATTTTAAGGGAATTTCTGTCAGGATTCTTTAAAAGCTTAAGAAGATTGCAGATTTCTCCAAAGCCAAAGAAATCTTGCCTTTCTCAAGAGAAGCAGGATTTGAAACCTGTTTTAGTAAAGTTTTTCATGGTGATCATAAACAATTATATTTCAAGTGACCAAAAACAGCATAGAAAAATGAAAGTACTTGTTAGGAAGAAATGTCTCCTCTGAGCAAAGATGTTCAGTGGTGGTTTTGTGGTTGTTGTTGGTAGCCAGATCCATCTTTGTCATGGAGGAGAGAATCTGAAGCAGGTGATACTGCACAAAATACCAGTTAGGAGTTTGCTAGGCCACAAGAGTCTGTGGTGATGACAATTTTCAGAGAGCAAGGTCAGCTTACTGGAGCCAGGCTGCAGAGAGTTTCCTGAACTGTCACTTTGCAGAAATATCCACGTGGAATGACCAGCAGTAGCAGCTTGTCACTTGCGGGGGTCAATTTTCAGTGCAGAATAGCACTGTCAGATCCTGCTTGAGCAGTTTCCTCTCCTTTGAACCCTATTTCTGATTGCCAGATGCTCAGTCACAGTCTGGCCCTCATTCTTTCAGTCCTCCCATAAATGGAAGCAAATTTCCAGCAAAGGTTCCTTGGGGGCATAAGGAAATTAGAGAAATAATAGACCTGGAGTCTCTCATGTAGCTAGAAGTCCTGCAGTCAGACTCTGCAGCCAAATTCTCTTTCCTGTGCTCAGTTTCAACATGGACAGCCTTTTCCCTAGCCTAGAAATTCCTGTTCCTTGCTTTATTCCAGGGCATCTCCCTTCAGTGGAGGCATGTGATACCTAGCCTTGATCCTCCTAACCACAATAAGCCAAAGCATCCCACAGAAAAGGCTGTAGTTCTTGCCCTTCTGCTTTTTTGTGACTGCCTTCTGGACAGTAATGGATGCTGGAATTCTTTCAGCAGACATTTGAGTTTATTCTCCCTCCTCCAAACTCACCAGCATTCTCTCTCCCTCGCTCTTAGTTTCACCCCGTCAGCTCAGTCTTGCTGCTGGCCCCTGCTCATTTCTCAAGCCAAGGCTCTGTATGTTTGTAGCCACAAAGCCTAGAGCATGTGTTCCAGCATGAAGGGATTTAATGGCTCAGGCCAGGCTGGATTGTGCCTCCTCTCTTGTTGAACGAAGCTGGGTGTGAGGCAGTAAACACTTACGCTGAGGAAGCTGCAGCTGGAGCCACCACTCGGCATAAAGGAGAACATACCTAAACTAACTCCAAGAAAAAATAGGGCTGTTGTATCCTAGGGCACAGCAGACATCTCTGATTCACCTTTCTGCTTGTCCTTGCCATGAGTTCAGTAAGTATCCTTATTCATGTATGTGGTGCAAAGGCTATTCATGTCTCCCTGCCTTGCCTCTAAAACCTTGCAAAGAAGTGGAGGG